GTTCGACTGGACGAGTTACCCGATGAGCTGTAGATCGAGCTTTCAATGTCATTGCGCTCACTAGTCGGACTTGACCATGCCGCGTCCCCAGTGGGCAACGGATAATGGCGTTCGCGAATAACCTCTTTCGATGTGATTGCTGTTGGGGTCCTAAACCCTATATCGCTACTTGTGATGGAAATATGCGAGTGCGCCTGGGTCGGTCCTGGAGTCTTGCCGCTTGAGCTTCCACTATCGGTCACCATCACCGAGCTGCGAGGCGGTGACACTACAATAACGGAATCCTCCTGGGGAAGGCATCTACATGACGAAATGCTGCTGTCCTGGAATAGGGGCGTCTTTGATCGAGGTTTCATCAAAACTTTTAGCTTCTTATCGCCATAGTCGCGATATTTTGCATTGAAATTTTTGAAAGTGTCCGGTGAATTTCGACGACGGGTCGGTGCAAGAGTCGAAAAGGTGCGGTTCTTAAAAAGCTTCTTCAGTTTGTCGCTGCCGGCGGTGATGGGACCGAGCGATTGTGTACGGTTCTCTATCGAATCATTCCTCGAGTTGACAGTTTCCTCGCTGTTTCGTCGCGTCATAGCTGAATTGGATTGACTACGTCCGACCGACTCCTCACGAGGCTTGGCCACATTGATCAAGCTGCTGCACTTTCCCGCAGACGGCCTCTCGCCGAGATCATTTCTCATCGCCAAATAGTTTTTATTATTCAATGGTCTATTGTCAGCATTGTTGCAGACTTGCGGTGAAACCGTACGGCTCCGAGCTGGCGATTTGTCCATCATTTTTGAGCGTAGATCGCCTGGAGAGTTTCTCTGCCATGCGCTGTTCCTGTCCACGCTGGCTCCCGAGTTGAATCCTATATTGGTTCGACCCCGGCCATAGTCCATTCTGGTATTCATTTCCGAGTGCGTACATATCATGGGCTCGTTGCGACTGCCGCTGGACATCTGGAGCTGGGTACGTGCCTTGCCTTTCTTGTGCAGCATTGCATTGGTCCTATCCGCTTGATTGGGTTGTGGGGGGCTCATCTCAAGATGTGTCCTTGAATTGGACTGCGCTCGGTGCTTTCCAAGCTGCATCTCGGTGTTGGCTTTGATAATCGTTTTCGACGGCTTTGGTCGCCCCAACGGGCCAATGTCCGGCGTCTCAACCAGAGGCATGCGGTTTGCTGCCAAACTCTTAGCCATGACATTATTTTGCAGCATTGAGATGCAACGCGGTCTGTGCCGGAGTCCCCTTGCTGAAGCCAAATCAACTGGTAATTGTGGTGAGCGCTGTGCTGCTTTGCTGCTCTTCTTCTTCTTGGGGAGTGGAGGAAGCTCCTTGCGGGGCTTAAACACACGAATGGAAAGCGACACCTCATCTCCGTCATAGTTCACAATGATTGGCTTTGTTGGCCGACTTATGGTTATCTCAAAGATACGATTCCTAATCTCCGTCTTTTTGAAGGCATCCTCCAGCGCAACGTAGCTCGAGCAGAAGACTATTGTGTAGTTGTCTGGTCTCTGGGTATACACTAGTAGATCCTTTTCGTCGGTGGTCAGACTCGTGACGCCTAGATGACGCTCTCCGTCAATTGCGAAGCCATGCACGATATGCTTTTCCGATGGCTCTTCTGTTGGCGTTATCAGAAGCAATAGGCTTTCCAGATTCGTAATGCCAAACAGTTTGTTCAGGACGCTATCGGCATTTGGCTCAGATCCTTTACTAAATGTTATTTGCGGACGTACGAAACGCTTTGTAACTTCAAATGGACGAACAGTGAGAACTCTGGTCACATAACGACCGGGAAAGGTAACGGTCTCAAGCCTGTCCAGTATTCGTGTTTCAGACGATATTAAGTTACCGCTAAATCCAGCCGCTGATGATTCGCTATAGATCATTCCCAAAATTTCCTCAACTTCCTTTCGTTCTTTAATTTGAGTTTGAGTCCTTCGCCGGCTACCAGCCTTTGATGGCTTAACACGATCACCTCCTGGATTCATTCTTAAGAAAAAAAAAAGGATAGTGTTGTATTTATTTTTGTATATAGCCAAAAGATGTGCAGAAAGGAAAGTTTATTAGATGTTTTAGAGTTATTTTTGGAATCGAAAAAGTTTGGAAGAGTAAAATTCGTCCGACTCGTGTCAGTAACAAGCTAAAATGAATTGTTGAAACATTCTCGTTCACCAGGTAGCATTCAGAGTGACGTTCAAATCATGGGCTGCTTTATGGGAATGCCTTTTGCGATGATTTGTTGCTCGCTTTGACATGGAACAGAATTTGTTTGGTTGACAGAACAGAAGGCACACGGAAAAACACAAAAATAAATTTCGACTAAAAAATATATTTCTATGCGATAAACAACATTTGCTCCGATTCCTGTTGAAACTATTGAGTATCGTAACTCTCCCAAAAACCTATTTACAGTTCAGTTGTCCGTGTTTCAGGCATGTGGTTATAGTTGTATAGTCTAAACTAATTCTTGTAGCAGTGTTTTTTTTTTTTCTTTCCTTTCTTCTTGATTGACACTTGGGTCGATTGAACGATGGAAGCACGACGCCTCGAGCGACAGCGCCGGGACTCGGCGAAGAGCACCGCCGTGGACAAGCTGCCGTCGACACAGGACGAGGAGTTCCACTTGCGGCTCATCGATCTATACGGCAAGTATCCGTGCCTGTGGAAGACAACCATCAGTGACTACGAGAATGCGGCCCTGAAGCGTCAGGCCTGGCAGGAAATCAGCAACCAGCTGGGCCCCCACCTCTCGCCCTCGTTCGTGCGCAGCCGTATCAGCAGCATGCGCTATCGCCTGAACGTCTACAAGCTGCAAATGATCGAGTACAAGATGAGTCCGGCCAGCGGCAAGCAGCCGGAGAAACTCTACTATATCGATAGATTCAGCTTCCTCGACGAGCCGAGCGGCTCGCAGCCGCCGCACGAGAAGGCGCAGTCGGAGTGCGATCTGGGACAGGACAAGAAGAAGCTGAAGAGCCAAAAGTCCAGCATTGCCAATCTATTCAAGCAGCGCATCCAGCAGCAGCAGCAGCAGCCGGCGCAGCTGCCGAGCGTGCTGCAGCGGCTCAGCCAGAGCGATCGACCCAGCGGCGGTGTCAAGGAGCAGCCGGAGAGCACCCTGGACGACTATTCGGACTTTAGCATTGCCAGCGTTGTGAGGCACCGGGCGCCGCACCAGTCTATACTAGCGAAGAGCCGGATACGGGCCGGACCGGACGTTCGCCTGAGTGACCTGCGCAAGCAAGTGGTTGGCGATCAGCTGGCCGCCGCGGCGGCCAAGCCGGGTCCCTCGGGCCCACCTCCAAATCCGGACATTGACAATATGCTCAAGAAGCGTATGCGCCGCTTGGGCATGGCCGAGATGGGCAAAGAGTCGCCCGCCGACAGCCTGGACAGCTTCACCGACTATCGCAGCTCCCTGATCAATATACCCAGCGTGGTCAAGAAGCGGATGCGACAACAGCTCCAGATTGGCATATCGCGCGCCTGGGACGATGACAAGAGCCACAGCAATAGGCCGGACTCCCAAATGAGCCTCCCACAGCCCTCGGCGCCCCTACGCGCCATGCCCGGCGACTCGGTGTCGAAGACTAAAGTCAGCAAACACCTGCGCCAGCCGAAGCCAGTGATTGGCTCCGAAGAGCAGCTGTCCGACGAGGAGGACTTCTATCGCCTGCATTGGTCATTGCGCCAGCAGCAGCGCTCCCGTCGCTCCGGCGGCAAATCACCCAATCGAGAGCTACCGCAGCCGGTGCCGCCCCTACTGCTCGGCCACTGCACCACCTCCAGCAGCAACATGGAGAGCGTACACGAACACCAGCTATAGCCATGCAATCAATTAGTGCTACACACTATAGCGATACACTATAGCCCACAGCACCCACACCATCCTCACCATTGATTTTAAATTTTGTAACTATGATTACCAGTACCAATCGTTCCAGTAGCATTAGCTGATGTTCACATCACGTTCCCACATACAACAGTTCGATTTTACTACCACAACATATCCGTTCGGAGAAGCAACTCAACTGCAATAATAAACATCGGAATCACTAAGCGCGGACCAATTTTCGTATACATGTTTACATAGAGGTTAGATGCAAAAAACTCGGATCAAATTAAATTATATATTTCGATAAGCAATTCAATATTAATAAACAAAGGAATCAAAAGACGGAATGAAAAGACGTGGTTTTATATTTTCGTATGAGCTATATATAGGTCGAAATTACTCTCGAGAGGTAGGCTTGATTGTCACGTAGGTCAAGATTTTCTTTGAGCTGGCGCTCTGAGCATGGTCTGATGAGATCTTGCGCTAGCTTTCTCTTTTCTGAGTTACGAATCGCTGCGATGATTTATAGATCCGAAGGCTGTTGCATTTTTGTTGGTAAAGGCGTCAGTAACTAAACTAATGGAATTTGAAAACTTTGGAAGATATGACTTCTACCAATTTCTCATTCCCCCAAAAAGAGTATATATAATATTTGGGAAAGTCTCTAGTCTCAATGGCCTTTTATAGCTAGACGAACGGACGGAGAGCGGGACAAACGGACGGACAGCATGACGGATGTAAGAATGGATAGCAAGACACAAATTAAGATGTATCTAGATTGACGTGAAGACGGGCGAGCCAGCGGACGGACCGACACCAAGCCAGGCGAACGAAGATGTACGGACGGACAGAGAGACGGACGGAGACTAAATCAGGCAGACGTACGAGCGGCCAAGAAGATGTCCACACGGACAGTAATCCAGACAGACGGACGAAACACTGACGTTCGGGCATATGGCAAGACATACGGACGGATGAGCTGCAAAGAGACGTTAAGAGAGGTTAGACAGGCAGACGGAAACCAATATGCCCCTTCACCTCATGAAAGAATTAAACTATAAACTGTCTATAAAATAGACATTGTCAATCGCTGAACTGATCCCAGATATCCACACGTCTCAGATATCCTCACATTCCCTCAAGAACAATAAAACATAGGGTATTTCAATAGTCAATACATATAATTTGTGCTTCGAATAGCATTTAATTTTGATAAATTCGTTGATAGTTTCACCTTGATTAGCTGGCAAGGTGCGAGCCAATTGAGCAGTCAATGCTTCGGCATCTCCTGCGATTTCTGTGCGTCTAATAAATATCGAGGCCAATGGCCGGAATGTGGTCTCTGTTTAAAGGGACGCCAAAATGTGGGGCAGCCAAAAATCTTTTCCCTTATTATTTTTTGTTTTGTTTGTTTTGGTCTTCTTCTATTTGTTTTTGCGTGCTTTGCAATATAAACGAAATTTGGCCTCCCCCTTTCGCCGGCGCTACCTTTGCTCCCAAATCTGGCGTCACGCTCTGGCGCTGGTTGGCATTTGCTGTCCTTGTTGCACGCATAAATTGGCAAAATTTTAATTTTCCACTAGATTTGCGTGGATTTTTGGCTCGTGTTTTGTTTGCTGTGTGCCCTTTTCGGTTTTGCTTTGATTTTGTGTGAGTGTGTGAGGTGGTGAGGTGGTGTGAGGTGGTGTGGGTGTAGTTGTAGGGCTGGTTGGTCTCTATCTCTCTGTCTCTGTGTTGTGCACTCTTTCAGTCTGTGTGTTTTTCTCTCTGTCTCTGTTTCTTGCACTCTTTGTCTTGTTGTTGTGTCTCTTGCTATGTTTCCTTATGCATTATCTGGCAAGCTCCGCTTGAATCTGCTTTGTTATCAACTTCCTGCTTGTGGCTCCAAGTAGCTTTGCTGGGCGACAGTCGTCGCAACGGGGCGTATGATGAATATTCATGAGCTCGAATTCCAATTCCCTTCTGGGGCATCGCCGGCCAAACGAGCTGGCATTGTTCAAGTACACCGCAAGCCGATCGAATCCAAATGCCATTATATATCGTCTGTGTTTATTTGCATTTGACGCTGGCTTGCCTCGCCATTAGCCGGTCGCCGAGTCTCGAACTATTGGGCTCATTGCACTCGGAATGTAAGAAATTCTCTTGTATTTTGCTGTATTCTTAATTTAAGCAGGCGACGTGCTCATTCCCGGCTTGATTAATTCCAAATGCTCTGCCAAATGAAATGGAAAGGCTGGTGATTGAAGTCTGGAAGCTGGATGGAAGCTGCAGGCGGCTGAAGGCTGAAGGCGGCTGGTTCTGAATCTCAACTCGGTCATGATTTATGAATGAGATAAAAAGTCTCAATGGTAAAAGTTTTGTCGTCTTCGTATTATTTTTAGCCCAGACTGATGGGGGCGGCGTCGTATCGAGTAGGGGATGGAGTCTCATCACAGTTGAGGGTGGGGCCGCAATAAATTACAGTTGACGCTGCAAAATGATGCCGCGTGGCGTGGCCGCGCCCAGCCAAATGTTAAATGGGCTCATTAGAAGCTGCAAAATCAAATCAAATTGCCAGCAAGCGGAGCCAGTTGCAAATGTGGCGCCATGTGGAGCCTATATAGCTCAACAGATTTCGATTTCCAGATGCTAAAGATGGCGTTGTCTTGCTTGAATTATCTATGTGTGTGTGTGTGTGTGTGTGTGTGTTTGTAACGGAAATAATGCTTCGACAAGCGAGAAGATTAAAGCTAATTATGCTTAATATGCAACTCAACAATTTGAGAGCCAATTTGGCTGCCAGTTAATGGGTTTTACAATGTGTTTTCTTTTTGCTTTTGTTTTTGCTTTTGTTTTTGTTCTTGTTTTTCGCTTTTTCTAGTGCTTGCTGCTATTATGCGATAATGTAGCTTTAGTGTTAGTGTTAGTCTTAGGGTTAGTCCTAGGGTTAGTATGAGTATAAGTAGTAGTAGTAGTAGTAGTGGTCATTGGTGTTGTTGTTGTTGTTGTTCTTGTTATATGTGTTACTCAATTTAGTTGCGGTCTAGCACGCGCAGCTGCTCCTCAACGCACTCGCGACATGCCTCATCCAATTCGGTGGCCTGAATATACTTCTGGACGCCATTGAACTCCTTCTTGAGGGCAGCAAACGAGCTGGAGTAGAGCATCTTGTCCTTGATCTTGGCCTGCATGGGACACCAGAGCATCAGGAAGAGCTTCTCCTTCAGGCAGGTCGACGAGGCGCCCTGGCACTGATGATGATAGGCATAATCGTAGACCGCATAACGGCACTCCTCCGGTCCGCCCTTGCGCAAATCGTTGAGGAAATCATCGTAGCTAGCATTGCGACGTCCAACCACATCCACGATGATCTCGCGCTCCTGCTTGATGGCATAGATCACATAGCGATGCTGCTTCAGCTTGCGTATCTCTTCGAAAATGCTCTTGCACTCCGTGGAGACCTCGATGCCCGATGCCATGGTGAGGTCTTCTGTTGCTGCTCGGAATATTGCTAACGCTTCAATAAAAATGCCAAATTCGCACGCGAAGCGCTGCGCTCTACTCACCCGTTTTGAATGTACTGAAGAAATATATATTGCTTTGCTTGAAATTTGTTTGCTTATTCAATATTCCATGAAATCTCGACGGCTAGCCTCGATTCCATTTCCACCGGGAATGACAGTGACGGCAGTCCAGTCAGAGCCAGCTGTGTGCCACTTGAGAAGCCTACTGCGTGAGCAAAGCTGTCTACGAAATTCAGTTACAAATATGGCTTAAGGCCGGCAACATAAACAAACACGATTTTGTTTAGATACCAATTTCCAGGAAAGTGCTGAGTATGAACACTGTATACCCTGTAATTTTGAAATGTATTTGATAGGCATAAAAGCTGAGTGCATGAGTGAGAAGCAGAGGTGCACATTAAAAATGGGCATTACGAGTATTACGGTTTGGTCAAAATTCATGTAGGCAGGCAGAAGAAGGCGTGGCATATATACATATATACCATAAATTCTAGAGTCAATCTAGTCTTATCCGTCTGTTTACCAGTCCCACCGTTTCTTATGTATAAACTTATCGATTTCAGCCTCTGTTTGAGCTAGAGATTTGATATAGAGAGATCAAGATTATTTAAAGTCGATAACTGCTCCCGTTGTAAATTTAGCGATTAAAAATCTAGTTTCAATTTATCATTAAAATTATATTTCGTGCATCTTTGGAGCTAGTGTCTATATTTACACTCCATATTTATAAAACTGTGTACCTTATAAAACTTTATTGTTATTGTATTTTGGGAAAGTCAGCTTTGAATATTGCCAATACGAACTTCATTTTGCATAATTTCTAAATTGGCATATATATATGAGTATACAAAGATTATATGCGGACAATTGCATTAAAATCGGTCTAGTGATTCAGAAGTTATTAATGAAAATATTTGGTCATTGGTTCCGTGGTTGGGTTTTTGATCTATTTCTAGATCGAATGAAGTGGCAAAATTTTGTTGTCTTTTTTTTTTTTTAATTTAATTTTTTATTTTAATAAGAGGCTTTAAAACCTATAAAGGACTAAAAAGACTTGGCTATTTTATGATATTAAATAATAAAAAAGAGAGTTTGAATGATGTGATAAAAGATATGAGTGTAGATTGGTGTTAGCTAGATGAAAAACCCGCATTGCATGAGCTTATGAGCTATAAGCTATGGAATTTTTTTTTGTTTTCAATCTCTGCTTCAATGTATACATTATATTTAAAAACTTGAATCATTCAATATTCAGGATATCCCAAGTGGGGAATAGAGTTTTCTTACTGATTCAAATTGAAACTTGATTACAGTGAAAATTTTTTACAGTTGAGCATATTCATTCGAAGATTTACCAATAATGAGATTATTTCAGCAACAATGGGCACAAGTGCTTTCCAGTTGATGAAGGAATCGACTGCACGTTCTCGTATTCCATCTTGAAACTGGCCAGCAGCTCACAGTACTTTCAAGTCGGTCAAACCCAACTAAAGCTCTCTGGAAAGTTTATTTAGCACAGTTGGGCGCACTATAAACATTAGCCCATCGAATCCAACTATTGACTGAATCGAATCGAGTAAATTGCCAAGTGCATTAAAATGGGTGAGCAGAGAAGTGCTGAAACTATATGCCCATGGCTCCAACAATCATGTTGAGCTGAACAAATTCCGGCTGGAGCCACCCAAAACTGTTGTCGGCCATAAAATGCTCCATTTGGCTAACAGCTGGTTGGCGGTCGCGGATGCAGAGACAACAGCAGCTGCTGCAGCTGCGGCTGCACTTGCTCTTGTTGACACACCCAATTGTTTTGTCACCCACATGCGAGTATAGAGAGCGAGAGAGCAGGAGAGAAAGAGGGGCACGCATGCATGCGTGCATGCACTTACATGCATGCGAGTTGATGTGGATGGTTTTGCCTGCCATCGTCTGCAAGTGACAACTTAACAAAGGGGGCGGAAGAGGGGGAGGCGCTTGCAAACGCTCAGCTTGGCGGTTTGCCATCTCAATCTGAGTTTTCAGCACGGACACAGTTTATATGCAAGTTTTGGGCGAGATATCCGATGGCAAGTAAATGCAGACATCGGCAAATATGATAGCTGCCAAATGTCTGCTAACTTGTCCTGCTGGCTGGCAGCATGTCTGGGCGGGGTCAACTGGCTGGCCAAGCCGAAGCAGTATCCGGCCACTGCAATATAAACATCTGCAGCAGCTGCATTGATTGGCTTCTGCAAGACAATATCTATTCCAAACAAGCTTCATAGTCCGCCTGAGCTGATATGAAATGTAATATTCAATTAAAACTCTTGTCTGCCACCTAGATAATCTCATGTGTGTTTGTGTACATGTATATGTTTATGCTCATTCGCAAAGTGAAATGGGTATATTGGTTTACCTCGTATATAACATATATGTACATATATGTTTATGCTCATTGACAAAGTGAAATGGGTATTTTGGTTTATATCTTGTCTATCACTTATATTAGATAATCGCATGTATGTTTGTGTATATGTATATGTTTATGCTTATCCACAAAGTAAAACGGGTATATTGGTTTACCTCGTATATAGCTTATATGTATATGTTTATGCTCATTCACAAAGTGAAATGGGTATATAGGTTTATCTCGTGTCTTCCATCTATATTAGATAATCGCATGTGTGTTTGTGTATATGTATATGTTTATGCTCATTCACAAAGTGAAATGGGTATATAGGTTTATCTCGTATATAACATATATGTACATATATGTTTATGCTCATTGACAAAGTGAAATGGGTATATTGGTTCATATCTTGTCTATCACTTATATTAGATAATCGCATGTATGTTTGTGTATATGTATATGTTTATGCTTATCTACAAAGTAAAACGGGTATCTTGGTTTACCTCGTATATGGCATATATGTATATGTTTATGCTCATTGACAAAGTGAAATGGGTATATTGGTTTATATCTTGTCTGTCACTTATATTAGATAATCGCATGTATGTTTGTGTATATGTATATGTTTATGCTTATCCATAAAGTAAAACGGGTATATTGGTTTACCTCGTATCTTCCATCTATGTTATATAATCGCATGTGTGTTTGTGTATATGTATATGTTTATGCTCATTGACAAAGTGAAATGGGCTTGTTGGCTTTTCTATTGTCTGCTATTTATATTAGATAATCGCAGGTCTGTATATTTGTATATGTTTATGTTCATGGACTAAAACTGGGTATATAGGTTTATCTCGTGTCTTCCATCTATGTTATATAATCACATGTGTGTTTGTGTATACGTATATGTATATGCTCATTCACAAAGTCAAGCGGGTATATTGGTTTATCTCTTGTTTTCCATGTATATAATGCCAAATCGCATTAAACTGTACCTTCTACAGTTTTAGATCTAAAACTCTCAAATTAAATGACTATTTTACTGTTGACTTATTCTACTGTCTTATCAATAATAATATGTATAAATATTTATATCAGTTTTCATCACATCGCAATGCAAAAATCCATAACTTTCAATAATTGCAAGTTATCAGCATTTCGAATGTGAATGAGTATTCTGCAGTCGATAGCACCCGACTGCAACATTCGTATTTATTTAATTCTTGCCAAAAACAATGCAAATGTATTTGGGCATATATGAATCTCTGAGGGACGAGAACATGTCACAACATGTTCAGTACATTAGGTAACTACTGTACATATGGATATTACGTGCACAAATGTAGGTGTTGCATGCACGCAAAAGAAACGAGCAAAAGTTTGCCGTAAAACTTGAACTCATGTTCTGGGCAGACATTGCAAGGAATGCAGGAAAAGTTTCAGTTGTGGGAAATATTTCAGTACGGGTTAACCAACTCATAAATGATTCCCTGAGTGCATATTTTATAAATTTTGCATTTTATTTCTACTCTAAGTTCCATCACTGGCAAACGAATTTGAGTGTTTTAATAGTCAAACAAACTTCAGACTCGACCAAACCACTGAAGGTGAATTCCATTCGAATATCTACTGAAATCCGGGCAATATTACGTATACGTACGTTGAACACATTGAGCTTTTTATGGCCCAGTGGACAAGCTGTAAATAAAAATTTGCATTTTCAGCACGAAAACAACATGAGGTAATCAGATATTGTATTAAGCCTTAATTGCTTGCTGTTGCCTGGTTTTTTGTTGGATTTCGCCTTCCTTTTTATCGCTGCTTTCCTTTTTTGCTTTTTTTTGTTTTTTTGTTTTTGTTTTTGTTTTTGATTTAAAATGTCAATTACGGTAAGCAGGAATTAAATATTTCCGCTGCATTTGCTTGTTATCCTGTTGAAATTCAATATGTTTGTCTTTCTCATGCATATTTAAGCAACTTCTATGCCTTCTTTGCATTGTTGTTGTCGCTGTTGTTGCTGCTCGGCTCGTAATCAACATGCGTGGCTCATGCGTGCTCCACGCTCCGTATGCCATTAACAGCCACAGCAATTTGCTGGCAGTGCCAATGCGAAATTCGAGCCGCTTCGTGGGCGTAGCGGAACAGCCATGTGGGCCGTAAATTAAATACAAAGTTAAGTAAAATACACTTGAGGCAACAGAGCGAACGCGTTACACAGGCAGAGGAAGAAACAGACACAGAGACACAGCCAGAGACAGAAACAGAGACAGAGACAGAGACAGAGACAGAGACACAGACAGAGATGCCATCAACAGCTGTATGAAAAGTTAAATGGCATTTTACGACGCTGATTTGATCGACTCACTGATGCGCTGTAAAAGATGATGAGAGTATTAAATATTATGATAATCAAATATAAAATGAATTTATTTTAAATTGTCTAAAACTTTTTTTTGGACTTTTTAGTTTGGCTTAGAAAATTTTCAACGTATTTTTCAAGTTCACGACATTTTTTTTTTTAATTAAAATTTATATACATATTTTTTATTTCTAAAATGTTTGTTTGTTTTTTTTTATTTTTTTTTTTTTTTTTCATTATATTAAATTCCATATATTTTCACATTCTGGAAAGAAGAAAATGCTCTACATATTTTTTTAAAGCATATTAGAAACATATTATATAATACTTATAATAATTATTAATACATATATACTTAAATATATATGTATATTGTTTCCAATGAGCTTAAAATAATATTGTATTTGTATATATTAAATATA